AGAGAGAGGAAGTCCCTGCAACCATTAATTACCCCAGACCATCCCCAAAGGACAGAGAGAGGAGCTGTCCACTCACCCAGCAAAGTTGTCCCCACTGTTGTGGGATTGTTCAGCCCACAGAGCGCTGTGATAATAAATGGCCTGGTGAAAGGAGCCCGTCTGCTTGTTCTGAGGTGTGTGGAGGTGAAGGTCTTGACTGCTACCCTTCGTGTGCTCTCTCTCTTTCTTCTTGTAGCCTCCCATTGTCCGCCCGTGTCGTGGGAGGTTTGTGTCCCATCTCTGGCCGCTCTCAACTCTCCTATGCCCTTGTTAGCTGCTGCTTTAGTTTAATTGGGTTTTGTTTGTTTGTTTTCTTTTTTCTTCCTTCCTTTTTTTTTAAATTGTTGTTGCTGTCGTTTTTCGAAACAAGGTTTCTCTGTGTAACAGTCCTGGTTGTCTTAGAACTCACTCTAGACCAGGCTGGCCTCTAACTCACAGAGATCTGCCTGCCTCTGCCTCCCGAGTCCTGAGATAAAGGCGTGCCCACCACTGTCTGGCTTCAGTTATAAAAACAAGGTTTTAGGTAGACAAGACTAGCCTTGAACTCACTATATACATGTAGCCAAGGATGACTGAACTCCTAATCCTGCCTCCCCCTCCCAAGTGCTGTTTCTCCTTCACTTTGTTTTGTTTTGTTTTTCCAAGACAGAGTTTCTCTGTGTAACCCCAGCTGTCCTGGAACTCACTCTGTAGACCAGGCTGGCCTTGAACTCAGATCCACCTACCTCTGTCTCCTGAGTGCTAGGATTAGTGGTGTGCACCAACACCACTACCAAGTGCTGTTTTTTAAAATAGTGCTTCTTTACATATGTCTGAATTTTTTCTTCTGTATTTGTGTGTGTGTGTGTGTGTGTGTGTGTGTGTGTGTGTGTGTGTGTTTGCTCACATGTGAGCATGTCGACGTCAGAGGACAACTCTTGAGGGAATCACTTCTCCTACCTTGTTGATACAAGATTTCTGTTGTGTCTGTCCCTCAGTGGACTTCAGGCTAACTGGCCCACAAGCTTCCAGGTGATTGTCCTGCTTCCCATCTCATTGTAGACATGCTAGGATTACAGCTAGGAGCAAAGGCACATGTGAGTTCCAAGAGCCAAGTGTGGGTTTCAGGTTTAGTGCCTTTACCCGTTCAGCCATTTCCCCTGCCCATGTCTGCTATTTGGAAAGCCTGAGGATCACATATCCCCCTACAAATGTCCCCCAAAGCTTGTTTGGAGGGTCCAGCAGGGAAACAGCAGCCACTTGTGTACTTTAGGGGGAAAATTTTTCTCCTGAGCTAGAGAGATGGCTCAGTGTTTAGAGCACTGGCTGGAGAGATGGCTCAGTGGTTAAGAGCACTGGCTGGACAGATTGCTCAGTGGTTAGAGCACTGGCTGGAGAGATGGCTTAGTGGTTAGAGCACTGGCTGGACAGATGGCTCAGTGGTTAGAGCACTGGCTGGAGAGGTGGCTCAGTGGTTAGGGCACTGGCTGGACAGATGGCTCAGTGGCTAGAGCACTGGCTGGAGAGGTGGCTCAGTGGTTAGGGCACTGGTTGCTCCTCTAGAGAACCCAGGTTTGATTTCCAGCACCACATGGCACCCACACAACAATCTGTAACTCCAGTTCTAGGGGATCTGACACCCTCGTCTGAGGGTGCTTCATGCAGAGGATGTATAGGCATATGTGAAGACAAAACACATACACATAAAAAGATAATTTAAAAAAATTCCTCAAGCCGAGCGGTGATGGCACACACCTTTAATCCCAGCACTGGGGAGGCAGAGGCAGGCAGATCTCTGTGAGTTCAAGACTAGCCTGGTCTACAGAGCGAGTTCCAGGACAGCCTCCAAAGCTGTATAGAGAAATCCAGTCTCGATTTAATAAAAAAAAAAAAAAAGTCCTCTTCTCTTGGGGGCAGTCATTCTCTTCTCCAGAGCTCAAAGCTTCTGGAAGCTTGCAGAGGGGCTAAGGAGGAAGGGTCCCCACCCAGCCAGCGAGGATAGCTGCAACAACCCTGGTGATTAGTGTCCTGTTACAACTCCACTTCCTCATCTCCTGATGGTTACTTAAGAGTTTTCCTTTTGTTTTTTTTGTTTGTTTTGTTTTAATTTAACAGTGTGTGTTTGTGTTTCCAACATGTTGGTCTCTGGGATTAAACTCATGTTGTCAGCCTTGGCATCACACACTGAACCTTCTCACTGGCCCCATTTCTTAGTTATGAATTTAGTTTGAAGGAAGTGGGGGTTTTGAATTTGTTTGTTTTGAGACAGGTTTCTCTGTGTAATCCTGACTGACCTGGAAATCACTCTGTAGACCAGGCTGGCCTGAGTGCTGGGATTAAAGGCTTGTGCTTTACTACTGAACCTCCAGGCCTCAACTGGAGGATTATGGGTAAACACCCAACCCCTGAGCTACATCCCCAGCTCACTTTTTTTATTTTGTAGTTTGAAACAGGATCTCGCTAGGTGGTCCAGGCTGACCTCATGCTGTAGCTCCAGCCGGCCTTGACCTGGTAATCATCACTCCTCTCCATCCCCGGTAGCTGTGATTACAGATGGCACTATCGCCAACCCCTTTAAGTATTTTCAGTTTTGAGCTAGCTTCAATGGCTGGGTAGCAGGGCCAGTGGAGTAAGGGCTGAGTTGAAAATGATGTCAGAGGGAACCAGATCTGTCTGATACTTAACTGAATCGGACCAGTCAGAGCTGACTCTTGTCCCTGATGCTTGTAGTGTGCAGGATCAGTTGATCTAGGGATGTCAAAAGTGGAGTGTGTGTAAAATTATTACCAGCATATAACCAAGATGGTCCTGGGAAGCACGGGGGAGTCTTAGAGGCTTCTATTGCTGATGGTGCTGGCTGCTGAGACCATGGCATTTTCGGATCTCAGACTCACTACTTGTCTAAATGGGTTGCAAGTTGTAATCACGTAATCCTTGAAATTACCCTGCTAAGCGCACAGCAGGGGCATCCTAAGTATTTGTTGAACAAATGACCTTAATAAGCTACTAATGAGATCCAGCAAAGTTTTGTGAGAATTTTGGTTTGTTTTTTGAGGTAAATTCTCACTAAAATTTTGGGTTGGTGAGATAGCTTAGTGGGTAAAGTCACTTGTGGCTGAGTGTGAGGACCCGAGTTTGATCCCTGGGACTGATTCCCACAGGTATGCTGTGCACACATGCACCCGTACACACACACACACACACACACACACACACACACACACACACACACACACACTAAGTACTTAAATGTTTTCTTTAGCTGTGCAGTGGTGGTGGCACACACCTTTAATCCTAGCACTCAGGAGGCAGAGGCAGGTGGATCTCTGAGCTTGAGGCCGGCCTGATCTCCAGAGCAAGTTACAGTACAGCCAGAGCTACGCTGAGAGACCCTGTTTAAAAAAAAAAAAAGGAGGGTGTTTTATTTGTTTTTTAAAGTTGCTATTTGTCTCTTATGGTTACGTGACCACATAGTGGCTGAAGAAATGGAAACCCAACCCAGAAATCATGCTCAATACAGTTAAGTGTTCAGTTGTGCAACTCGGCTCAGGTTTTCTGAAAGGAAAAAGGGACAAGAGGCAGGCGGGGTGGGGGTAGGGGGTGGATGTTGGAGGGTGGATGGCTTT